GATGCAGAGCTCCTATCATGGAGTAACTGTAATGAAGCATTTTCAGCGAGGCGGCGGCATCGAGGGGTGGTGGAGCCCCCAGATCGCATTAAAGACTCCGTGTTCCCTGTCACACTTGGCACACTATTTATCATCCCATGAGACCAGAGGTGGAGAAGACGGCTTAAAGCAAGTCATCCCCTTTACGTTTTCCCTGCATCTCGTGTCCAAACAAGATTATAGGCAGAATCAGAAAGTGCAGCTCACAGTTATGACTCCGTTTTGAAAGAAAACATCATCATTTAACCAGCCTGTGACAGTTTTTTGCCGGATCGTCGATGCTATCTCATCACAAATGCTCCCTCTCATGGGGTTATCGTCTTTCTTTAATCACTCTGATCAGTCAGAGCTGTAGGTGCTGCTCTGAGCATTCCTCATCGCAGAATTCGAGCATATTCCGCTCCTACGTTTGACAACATCCGTAATTAGCAGCATCATTAGAGACTGAGGGTGCGTGTGGGTGTGTGTGTGTGTGGGTGGGTGGGTGAGAGAAAGAAACTGTGAAAAGAAGCAAAACACTTCCCTTCCAAAAAAGACACAAACAAAATCAAGGCCCAATAATGGCTGGCACAAGCCAAAGGTGCTGTCCAAATCCATTACAGCCTGCTGTTGCCATGGCAGCAGCCCACCTACAATCCTTTTTTCTCACCAGCCTTTCTTCCCTCCTTATGTGTTATCACGAGACAATCGCACCGTGCCTTCTGGTGAAATCTCTCTGAAGTCTCTGTTAGTGTGGTGTGACAGCTCGTAAGACCAGACAATAAAACTGATCCCTGCCTGTGTGCAAGGTACAGATCCGTGTTCCAATGTGAGGGCCTTTTTTAATCAGAGTTTAACAGTCATGCGTTGCAGGGGCTCTGCACTTCGTTCTTCTTTGCAGCAAACATTGTGATCAAAAGTGCATTGTTGCCCAAATTAATTGTCCTCCCTTTAGTGTTCTATTATTCACCAGCAGATGTCTGGTAAACCTTTGGCTTCAGGTCCACTGCTGCACAGACAGGTTGGAGTCATGACGCCTGCACTACTGATGGCATCACTTTAATGATTTAGTTTGATTTCCAAATCATTTCTTTTTGTTTCTATTGTATCACAAGTTATAAAACTCTAAAATCAACTCAGGGCCTGAACCGACAAGAGATGGGAAGTTTTGAGTGTCATGAAGATCCAGATATTCATAAGCAACAAAAAGCTGAAAAATTATGAAATGTGTTTTTAAAACTATTGTGTTTAGTAGTTTTGACATCAAATCAACATGTATGTGTGTTGTATCATGACAATGGAAGAAAGAAGAAATGTCCAGGAGATGATCAATATTTCCAAATGAAAAGCAGTCATTAGCATTAACAGGCACAATCAGCGAACATGCAGCTCTTAGGGCGACCCCCCCCCCCCAGCCTTGTTTTTCCTTCTATTTCTTAGGATTTGTCCTGAATCAGCCACAGCCCTCATTTGGATCTGTTTGTTTGGTCACCTGCCTGCTCTGCTTCCTGGAAAGGTTGATAAACTAGGTTTACATTGAACATCTTGAAATTCATTGTCTCAGTTTCCTTGTAGCTGCATGGCTAACAAGTCCTCTCTACGACTCAAACCAATGTGGTGATTTCTGAAAAGGTCTCTCTTTCACACTCAATGATCTGCAGGTCGACCTGCAGAGGAAATGTAGATGACATATCCGTTTCTGGGGGCAATGCCCTCCGGGGCTTGAGGAGACAGCGGATATCCGGGCCAAGACTCCATCGTCTGTTTGCCGTGCACTTATTATCTGCAAACCAAGATTCAGTGGATTTCTGGCAAGGTGCAGAGAGAATATTTAAAATCCCCAAACCAAGAGCCTTAAGTGTACTGAACATTCATGCAAGCACACAAGTCAAGTAATTATACGACTCAAAAACAAACAACAACAAAATGTTTCTACCAAATGTGAAAATTTCCCAAAGCCCATAAAGGCTTCTGCACACAATATTTGAAAATCCTCTAATGTGCAGCGGCCTTAAGCTGTGATGTGTTGGTCTCTAGAAACACGAGACAGTTTATTTAAGTGAATCACTAAAACTGCTCACATGTCACACTTGTCAGAATGTGCTTTATTTAAATTTCATCTTAGACAAGCCTGACAGCTGTATATGTAATGTAATGAATTTTCTCCCCACTGTCAGCTACAAGCTCTCTCAGTTTTAAAATAAGATGCCAGTTCTCTAATGAGAAACTGAGTCAAGATTGTGTGAAACCTCATCGTATTAAGATCAGTGTGGAATGATTGTGCGATAAATAGGAAACACAGCACTGACTGTTGTGATGTTTTCATATATGATTGTTCCTTCATTGATGGATATGTGTGTTTTGAAGCTGCCTGTCAGAGATGGCACCATGTGGCTCCATGTGTTTCTCACACATAGCTACAGACTCTTAGACCTGCCTGCAGTTGTGAAGGGTTTTCTCACAAATAAAAACAGTTTCAGGAACATTTATGAGACGCATTATATGGATGATAATGTAGAGCCTTTGTTGTGGCACGGAAAATAAGCGTAGACAAACACTGTACATTTCAATGTGTCTCTGAAGTGACAGTTTGACAAGATGCGTCTATAAGCTGCTTAACCAACCCCACACCTCGTCACCAAGCTGTCACTCATGATCAGACTCTGGTTGAGCTTATGACATTTTTTTCTTTCCTTCCTGTCCTCCCTTCTTTCCTTCTTTGTTTCTTTCTTTATACATGCCTTCCTTCCGGTTCTCCCTTCTTTCCTTCTTTGTTTCATTGTGTCTTTCTTTCTTTCTTTACCCCCTTCCTTCCTTTCCTTCTTCCTTCTTTCCTTCCCTCCCTTCACACTGATCAATCCTGTCTTGCCTCTACATTATCTGTATGTATAATTCACAGGGACGGCTGTTGCCTCATCTTATATAGATCGAGTCTCTGTCACTTTGGTCTAATAATTACTAGGCATTAGCCCAGATTAGCTCAACCAAGGTCAATGGTTATCCATCTCATCTAGCTGCCTCTCTCTGAGGGATCTTACGAGGTTCCTGTCCCTCTCCAAGTCACAGACTGTTGTTAGACCCCTGGGGCTTTTATTTTGAACACAATTGAGTCAGTTGACTGGATACAGACGAGGCACAACAAGCAGTGAAGGCATCGTGAAGGTTGTTCGAAGATCACGTGCAGCTGACTTCCATCTCCTCTGCTGAGGGGGGATCAGGGAAGGCCCGTGGCGAATTTGAAAGGAGATGATCATCCATATATTATCAAAGCGAGCTGACTTTCCACACGGGGGAAGTGGCAGATTCAGTCTGTAAAGGTTGAGCAGTGCAGCTTCATGGAAGGTGATCTCTAAATGTTTTTGACACCACTTCTCCCTGGGGTGACAGGGATTTGCTTCTGGTGATGTAAGTCATTCTGGTTTGAACTGTTGTATTAAAGCACCTGTGAGGGGAGCTCAGTGAAGGTGTATAATCAAGGTAGGCTTGATGTTGTTTAAGATTTTTAAACATATTATCAGCATAGCGTCATAAAAACCTGTTAAAATACTTACACAGAGAGAACTGAGATTATGAGAATAAAGTCCTAATTTTACGAGAATAAGAAAAGTCAGTGAAGTCAGTGAGGTTCTCTCTTTGTAATAGACAAAGTTTCAAACACATATTTATATTTATAACAATGTGATGCTGTTGTGAAGAAAGATGAAGTATAAGTATCTGTTTATTTATTGAAACTTACTTAAGTATAACTTATCAAGATTCTCCACTCACTTTGACAAAGGACTGACTGATCTCCTGATATTCCTCCTGCAAAATGACACGTAGCCTAAAATTACTGCTATTTTCTTATAATATTATAATTTTTCTTGTTTAGTTAACACTCCATCGTAATTATCAAGAAAATCTGGGAAAATGTTGAAAAATGTCCTAAAAAAATTGAATCGGTTCTTCCATGAGCAATACCACATCCTTCCACCACGTCTGAAATAAAATTCAGTTGTTTTTGTGTAATCTTGCTTTGAATCAAACAAACCAACATTCATCGCGGGTGTTCGGGGTGAAAATATAATAGTAAATAATATATAATATAAAGTAAATCAAAAATAATTCAAACTGGTAGTGGATTTAGAACTGTCGGATAAATGTCTCCTCGTGTAAATAATTTGGTTTTCATGGAGAGAGTGGTGCAGTGGGGGTGGGTCCACAGAGGAGTGAATCCAGGTGGTTTCTAAACAACCCGAGTCTTTGTCAGAATGACAGATGGCGCCATCGGAGCTTAGCATCAATCTCACCTGATGGCTCAGCAGCGACCGGCGATGTCTGCCAGCGGGTCGGCTTTCACCAGAAGCATCGCCGGGTGACCCGGGAGCTGCATGGAACGCATTCTCATGTCATCAAGCACTGATGATGAGCGAGCTAAAGGTTTGCACTTAGCCTCTAGTGTTTCCACGGCAACATTCCTCCCTTCACACTTTCAGCCCTGACGAACAGCTTCAGTTGACATTAATGACTCTTTTATCAGCAGAAAAAAAACAAGGTGCACTGTTACAGACGTTGAGAGAAGCATGTCTTTACAAAAGGAGCATTTGAGTTTGAGGTTTACATGTCAAATACTTTCTACATCAACCATTTATTAAAAATATCTGGCTTGAAAAGTCTTTGAACATTGCATACAAACATAATAACAAGGGATTAGTGTGTGTCTGAGCTTCTCCTAATACAGTAGATATAAGCTGGTATTGTTTGTTGCAGTGTAGGAACATTTGAACAGATATGGTGTTTACAACACAGGTTTGTATCATTAATCTAAAGCACATTGATGTTGTCGTCTAAATCCCAGGAGAAGTATTTCACTAAAATAAAGAACTCTCTTAAGAACTCATCTAAATACAAAGATCAATCAGTTTGAGAGATAAAGAATTACAGGTTGACAGATAAAACAATTAGCTAATTTAAGAAAAAAAAGGAGTTTTTATCCACTTTTCCTTTGTAAAACGTGTTCGTTAAAAGGGGAAGAAACTGTCAGCAAAGCACAAAACGTCACTTAGCAGATTTAAAGCCAATTTCTACCAGTTATAATAGCAGTACAAATGCAGTGTCTTGTATTTTCTTTCTTTGAAAATGCTTTAATTGCATATGTAGCTGCAGCGTTATGCTCGAGACTGAAAGAAAGGCTATTATTCCCAATTAGGATGAGGATTAGTTGCCATGGAGACAGCTGCCTCCAGATTCCACAGTAACACAAAAGTAATTTACGGAGCAGCAGCTTGATATAAAAACCAAATTTCATTTTCAAACTGAGGCATCACTTCCCCCTTACACTGATATACACGTGGATCACAAAGTTCACTTGAGATCTGGTCAGTGTTTCGTGATGTTATGGAGACACACACTGCACCATTTTTCCACAACTGCCCTGACATGTGGGTGATATCGGGAACTTCTATTGTCTGTTACTGACGGTAATTGTTTCTAAGTAAAGAAAAAAAGAGTAATTTACTGAAAAAAAGGTGAAGAAGTAAAGAATTTGTGCTTCTAATTCTATTTAATTAACATCTGTAGATATCTGTAGACTATTTAAACATAACAGAGCATGACATTACAATTATACTTTCTAATAATCCCTGGTAGATAATATTGCGGGTACTTGACAATAAGACCATTAATTTGAAAGGGGCTGTTTTAGTTTTCACAGAATAGAATTATAAAGTCAGTTGGCATTGCAGAAATAACATTTGATTGAGATTTTAAGTGTGTACCAAAGGGAGTTTCCTGTCAGTAAAACTTTTTAGAAACATTCTATATACACTAATGATCAGTGTCCAAACTATGCTTCATCCACGAATGAGTCCTTAAATGAGCCCTAACATCCTGGCCCGTAGGGCTGCCTGACATGAAAATAATCCCAGCGCTTTCTAAATGTTTTAACATTCACCATCTCTCCAGCCACATAATTAAACAGCACTGCTTAGCAAGTATGCGGTGCATGTTTGAGATGGCCCGGATCAACCTGAATCTTCAGCCCCATTTACTCTCCAGTCTTTGCTCTGCAGTACAAGTGAGCTTGTTGTCTGAAACATGGAAATAAACTTAAGCTGAAAAAAAAAGTTCCTCAGATTGCCGGTTGAGAGCGCAGTCGGTTGTCTCTGTTTTTAACTAAAGAGCTGTCGTATGCAAAAGCTTCTTCTCAAACTCCCAATTGTTGATGGCAGATGTAGCCCAGTCCCAGTCCTCCCATCTGATGAAGACATATAGTCTATATGTCATTGTCTGGTGTCACGACCTCCAAACCCTCAGGGCCTTGAACTGATCCAAAAGCCAAGTGAGAGAGACAGATAGAAAGCAAGAGAGAAACATAGACAGATAGAGAGAGAGTGCACCTGTATCTGCAAAGCAAGGCCTCACTCAGGGAGGAGATCCAGAAAAACCAGGAGGAGTACATGTTTGTCTTTATAAACAATGCTCTTCAGAAAGTGCAGGCGTAGACAACGCCCACAACCACTATGTTTCCAATAGTGGCGACAATGGCGATCCAGAGCCAGATGGCGTCGCTGGACATGGACTGCGACTCATCCTGCTGACCTTGCACGGACGCAGCCGAGGCAGCGGCATGGACACTGGCCGAGGAGTTGAAGAGCGAGTGCTCGCCGCTGTAGTCATCATTGGGTGAGGAGTCCATGAAAGCTCCGGTCATAACCGGGATCTATGAGGGAAGGGAGAAAAGAATGGAGAAAGGTCTGATACATAGATATGTCATAGAGACATATTCTAATTTTGAGCACGATTTTAGAAACATTAATCTCCTAACAGCACTGAGACTGTATGAATCAAGGTGGGCAATGACCCACTGAATGCAGCTGACATTAGCTTGTACTCTAATTTAATTGTCCTTGACCTCAGCTCAGCCTTCGATAAATTAGATGATAATATCTTAATCAGGCAATTAAAGAGGATCTAATCTTTTATTTGCTCTTTATTTGCTTCTGTGCAACACTTTGAGATGATTTTGTGGAGTCCCACAGCGGTCTACTTAGGGTCCCCTCAGTAACTAAAAAAAATAAATTAAGGACAATTTTCAAGATTCTCTTTTTTGCAACTGTGGGAGGAGCTTTGATTTAGCACAGGATTATTCTTAAAACCTAGATTTGAGCAAAACAAGCCACTGAAAAAGAAAACTTTTTTAATGTTGGTCAGTTGGTCAGTCCAGCCTTTTGGTTTAGAAAATATCTTGACAATTACTGGTCTGCTTGACATTTTGTGGTGCCCAGATGATGACTGCCTATGGAATCCCTGACTTTTATTCTTGTGCTACTGTGAAATTAACTTTTGTGGTTTTGAATGAAATGTCTTAACAAAAGTAAAAGTGCTAATATTTTTTGCAGTTTTTGACAAAACTTTGCAAAAAAGAAACCACTTTACAGTTCCAGTGAATTGAGTCAATCAAGGTCTTGCCTGACAATCACTGCACAGCAGACTTGTTCCTGTTGGTCATGCATTAGCAGATTTGAGTGCTATATTAAAAGAAATGGGAGGTAACTGCATCACGACATCATTAGTAAATGGTTACTAAGTTTCCTACCCAGACATGCAGGGTCCCACTCTGCCTCACACACCGCTGAGTGTGTGTGTGTATTTAAAAAGTAGTGCTTGATTAACATGGAATTAATATTTCAGATGTGGCAAGTGAAATGATTTATTGCTTGGGACAATAAGAGCCCAGCGAAGGTTAGCCATTAGAGCAGAAGCAACTGAATGCTTCTGTGTGTGTGTGTGTTTTACGTGTGTCTGCACAGATCGGTGTATGATTGAGAAATGCATGAGAGGCGTGTAACTGCGCTTTGACAGAAAAACAGAATGTGTTCTGCTGAAGACGCCTGAAAAACAATGCTAAAAATACCTCAGAGGGATGTCGGCCGCTCACATACACAGAAATTCTCTCTTGCTTGCTCATTTGCTCACCGTCTCTCTCTCACACCCCCACTCTCTCTCTCTCTCACTCTCTCGCTCTCTGTCTCTATCATGTAGACACGAGCTAATGCAAAGGGATGTTGGCAGACACACATACGTCCGGTCTTCCCTCACACAGGGGAAAACACTGTTTAGAATGCATTCTGCCGCTCCCCGCTCATTGGCCCCTGGTGGTGAATAATGTCATGACACATCCTGTGGAGCGCCTGCTGTTCACATGAGCATGATGGAGGCAGACAGGCATGCATGAAGTCCACCAACCTGGATCTCCCTGCCCCCCACTCAGTCACTGTGACCGTGGATTCCTCCTGCTACAGCATCTTGTATTTATCTTTATCAGTTTTTATGTTTCTGTTATTTTGTTGGGTTGACAATTCAGCAGCAGGATGAATGGAAGATACAGTAGATAAGTCAAATCACACATATAGACCATAGACTGCATATAAAGATGGAAGACACATCTCACTTTTTCCTTCTCTCCAGGAATTAAAATACCACAGATCCAAGCACTGCCATCACAGTTCGGCCATTTTATGCACAGGGATATAGATGGGATTGAGATTCTGTTTCTCTCTTATCCATTCAACTAGATAAAACATACAACAAGTAGTATATTAAGTATACATATTCAAATGTAAGTTTTCCTTCGTCCATCCACACCCATTTGTTCCACAATAATAATAATAACTTTATTTGTATCTAAAGTTTATGACAACAACAAATCATAAACAAGACAAATCCAGCAAAATAAACACATATCTACTTCAAGCTTTCTAAGTAGATCACACAAAAACATGTAACCACACATAAGAAATAAACAAGATCCAATACTACTCTTTATCCGTGCACCTGTAGGAGCTCCTTTGACCTCCCTCATCAACATGCAGCTGATTTTACTTTCTCTCCTTTTAAAATCACACCACTCTGTGATAAACACTGCAATGATGAAAGATGCAAAATTCAAAGCTCTGTTTTCCCAAATCTAACATTAATCTGACGATACGCTCTCAACCCTGTCTGCATTCTTTAGAGCCATGTTTTATTTATGAGTAACTCATTGTCCAAAAGAGTTGGATGTTTGCACAAATGGGTAAATGTATCATACAAAATGAAGCAGATACTGTGTGTGTGTGTGTGACTGTGTGTGTGTGCGTGCGTGCGTGTTTGTGCCAAAAATATACCAGTAGTGAGCTTGAATCTAAATATTTGATTGCCTGGGTTTTCTATTTTTGGCAGAAATGGTGCACAAGTGTATTTACATGTAGACAGGTGTTTCAGTATATCATCTTTTTTCCTGGGATGCTCCTCCATCCTTCTCCCTCATGCTGCCTCAACTCCCTCGTGGCTCATACACATGAGTTAAGCGCAGCAAGAAGTTGAGCACTAATGCGACAGAGGGAAATAGAGACCTCAAGAAGCGATGTCCCAAAGCATCGGAGCACTTTCGTATATGGGCTACGAAGGTCATCCCCCACAAGCATTACTGCCAGGAAACTCATACTTGTTGGAGTGCATGGATGAGTGAGTTCAGTGATGAAGCAAACCAAAGTCCCACGGCCCACTTTACGACATAATAGTAAACCAAAGGTTCAAAAACCAACAGTCTGGTCCTAAATTTCAATAAGTCCGAAAGTGGTTTAATCTCCCAAGATTCTAACTCTGGTTCACACTTCTCATTTAAAAAAAGATGTGATGTGATGTAACGTGATATATATATATATATGATATATTGCTTTAAAATTTGACATTTGAACCATCAAAAGGATAAGTGGGATTGATAATGGACGGAAGCGTAAAATTTGAGTTCCCCGAGCAGCACGTTCTATTGATCTGAAGGTAGAATCAGAACCATGTGTACGGCTACATATCACTCTAGGTAAGAGTAAATGTTTTTGTGCTAACACCTATAGAGTGTACATAAAGATGGATGACATGACAGCCCCCCAAAGGTGAAGCCAAATCATCTGGATCGCAACCTGGAGGCTGGCTACAGTGTAGGTCATAATCCCCGCCTCCTCCATGTTAGCAGATGTGACATGTGCCAAAGCAAAAGGTCAAAGTACAAACCAAACAAATACAAGTGAAAAACGATGTTGATGTTTACATCTTTAACCTAACAATCTCCATGGATTACTTCACTACATGAAACTGAAGTTTAGATTATATTAAATGATGAGTGTGATAAAAATCCAACAACTGTAGGGAGGAACTGCTCTACAAGCAACATCTGAGGAATCTGCTGAAGAACATAATCACGCCTTCTTGGCTGTGACTGACGGTCGTACCTGTGAAACACCCCACACAGCCAAACTTCAGTCACTGACACACAACACGGTGACGCTTCCTCTCATGTACGACTCCACCTGCTCTGCTCGCACAGCCTTGATTTATTCGTCCCAGCTGCTGCTCCATCCCACACAGATGATCACAGTAATTGTGAAATAGAATGGACCGTAATTGCATCCTGTGGGACGTCGCCACCAGTAAGTGCTCAGCGAAATGGCTTTGGAACGAACAAGCAAAACCCAAATAAATGTCTTCGGAGAGGGGAGAAGCCAAAACATATACCTAACCGCAAAAGCACTCAAGCATGGCTGTTAAGACCAGATCAGACGGAGCGGGTTGGTTTTCTGCTCCCGGGGACAATATGAGTCTCAAATCTGAGTCGATGCTCGTGTCCTTGTGAGGAACAAACTCCGAGGTGTACGCTGGAGAAACCAGGCACAGAGGTAGATCCCTGCTGTGTAAAGAATGGACTTTGAGCTTGACATCGCACGGACGATCAATGTAAACGCACAGCTGTTGATTTTCTCAGCAGTCACATCCGCTCTATTGACTGCTGCACTGCCCGGATAGGTGCTACTTACATAATGCATTTGAGACTTCAACCTCAGATTTGCAGGATTTCTTGAAACACACGAGGTTGGACCGAGGCTGGCTGCTTGAATTAACGCTCTTTGTTGTTTGTTTAGGACCACAAAACACAAGGGGGCACAAGATCAACAAACACTGACTGAAGTAAACTGAAGTAATCATTTTAACCTGGACTCAAAGAACTAAAGATTTCACATTTTTTAATTAGAACATATTTATCTTTTCATTTCTTGGTTGCATTTGGAAGGTTTTGAGGCCACAAACCAATCTTGTTTAGGGCCACCAAAATAATAGGTCCGGCCCTGGGTTGTTCCCTGAAAGCGTGTTGTTGTTTCTGAAAAGTACTGATTTAAACAATTTTCTGCTTATGGGTTTATTTGGCCTCCATATGAACAATACCTGCACTTTCTATAAATGCAGAATGGAAAATCTGGGAGAATATAGTTTTTCTATATTTAAAAGAAAAACTTTTTTTATAGAAAGTAATTCGTTTTTTTTCTCTCTCTGCAGGTCAGGAGGTTTTACAGCTTGCAGCGTCACATGGTAGCATTATTACATTACAATTTGGCTGTATTGTTTTGACTTGTCATGGCAGGAAAAGCCCAGGTGTTCTATTCACGGCAGTGAGACAGTGAGTCACCGTGCACAATGACCAACAAAATGGAATTCAGCCATAGTTTAATTTGGTCTGTGTCAGAGTGTCAGGAGAGGATCGTGTGCCAACAGGGCTTCATACACACACACACACACAGATATGATGTGTTGATCCGATGAGCTCGTTGGCTTCTCACTATGTTACTCATTCAGTTACTTTTAATGGATAAAATGCAAAAAAGAGTCTGATGCTTAGTTTATGCCTTT